AAATATATATATATAAATATATATGCTATATCCGTCTAAAAATACAGTATAAATCTTCGCGTATACGTGTATGTCATTATATTTCGTTGCCATATACCATTGTCATATATAATTAGCTACAAGTAGTGTATTGTTATACCTTCGTTTTTGATGCATAAAACGGCAATTGACGCATAGTTTCCTGAAGAGACGCCTGGTCATCTTCATCTGCTCTTATAAGTGATTGTTGGACATTTTGTAGTGCCCTCTCCCGTGTTTCTGCCTCTTTCTGTATCGCGATTTGTTTTTGGCCGACTTTTTGTATATGCTCTATTATATCTGTGTGTCGCTCTTGAGCAACTGAGTAGAACTTAATATGTGCACTTGTTCTTTTATCGGCAGACGAGTCCGTGATTGCGGTCGGTGTTGTAGACATCGTGTTTGTGGATAGATTGTAGCGATATATGTATGGACTAGCATACGATGGTTCACTTTATTTCTAATTGTCGTATGTGCAGAATAATGACTGAATGCCTCACTGCTGTGATACTAACTATATAACCTTTGTCGCGTACATATTCATGGTTGTGTGTAGCTCGGAAATCACCTGAAAAACGCCCTATACATGCAAGTAAGTAAATATTGGTCATTTATATACCAAAATATGCTGCTCTGTGTGCGATTATTTATAAACCCTAAAACCCTCAATTATCTTTTTAACGTTAAAACGTATAGAATCCAATCCCTCGTCCTAATGTCTTTTGGTCAGCCTGGACCTATGGGCGAGAACGCGCCAGAGTCCAGACTCCAGACGCACAGTACCCCCGAGCCCACAGTCTGTGGGATCACTCTGGGAGGTGAGTCTCGCACTGTCCCACATAAATAAATAAATAAACGCTGAACGTAAACAAACACACAGCTTTTACGTTATAGCATAAAACGTATTGAGATTGTCCCGCAGTCCCCGCGCTTTTTATCTTTCATTTCCACATGCGCTTTTAGGCAGCGCCAACCTCCTCCTGTGCATGTTTGTATTTATTTATATGAATGTAAGTGTACACATACATATAAGTCATTGTGAACACTATATATACATACTTAAATATACATAC